AGATCTCACCCTTTCTTCTTTCCTTTCTCGGATGCAGTGTCTTTGCCATTTTCCTTAATGCCCGGGATATCTTTGGGCACAGATGGCTCCTTTTCCTTCTCCTCCTGCTCTTTGCGACTGACTGACTTCTTCAGCACCTCGTAGTCAGAGTGGGGGTCCACCTCCAGTACCTCTTCTTCAGGGATGGTGAGGGTTCGTGTGAGGGGAGTGGTGCCTGCAGGCACCTTGAAGGTCAGGTGGAACTCTACAGGCATGCTTAGTCTGAAGAACAGCATGTCTGTGTTGGCATTTTGGGATCCGAAAGTCCTGTGGGTTATTTTAATACAGGGGGCGCTGTCTACGGTTCCATCAACACGAGAGACCTACAGGTCACATGAGAACAATAAGAAGATTCAGAAACTTTATCTATACCATTAATCTAAACTAAATGACACAAATATTGCTTAAATACCTCAATGTGGTTGTGGTCGGTGGGCACTGGAACATATTGGGGGAGACTCTTACTGAACCACATTGTGATGTCTCTCTTCATGTTGATGGCGAATGGCTCAAAGCCTTCTTGGAGGCCACAGATGGCGAAGTAACGTAGGCTGCTAACATTCTGACCCAGGTTAATACGGGCAACCTGAGAAAGACCCAAAGTGCAGACTGGAATAAAACCTGGAGGGAGAAGAACAAAGAGAAGAAGCTGATTTATTGTAGAGGTATAGTATTGCAATATTTTGAATGGCAATATTGTTTTAATATACAGACGCAAGGTAGCCTACTGATCTTTTATTATGTACATTGCAAATATGAATTGAACTTTTGACACTAGAATAATAATTGCTTTTTCAGTCAGATTTTTCAAAGATGGAGGCATCTGAGAAATAACTGAAAAAAGTGCCTTCTGCATTTAAATCCAACGTATACATTTATTTTTTTAGATTTTTTAACAAGTAAGAGATGAAGGAGATGGATATGACATAAGATTTGCGAGGTGCGTGGTATGAATATAAAACACTTCAGAAATACTACAAACAGGAGGACTTATCTCACGCTCCACCATCCAGAGATAGCATTAGCCTTAGCAAAGGATGGCAAAGCTGACATTAAGCTACTTTTGGCACGTTTACCGTTGAAAAAAGGTATTAATTCATAATGTATGTTATTGCAATGCTCAGAATGTTGCAAAATGTGTAAAATAGCAAGAATATCATATTGTGAATTAAGAATCATGATAACTTTTTATCGTGGGGCCGGTAGCATCGTTGGCATTAGCCTTAGCTAAGGATGGCAAAAGTTGACATTAAATCAGCTTTTTTGGGTGGATTTGCAGGTGAAAAAATAATAATAAATCGCAATACATGTTATTGCAATACTCAGAAAATCACAAAATTTATAAAACCGGAATAATATCATATCATGACTTAAGAACCATAAAAAAAATATTGTGGTAATTTCCATTCTTTTCACTAATTTACAGAGGAGAAGAGTGCTTTAGACTATCTATTTGTGCATTGCCTCAAGATGGTATTTTGACAACTTTCACCTTCATACAGGGATATTTAAACAAAAAAAATGTCTTTATTTATCATTATGTTGTTCCAAAACCCTTTTTTGTAACAAGCTTAAATGTAGTCCACATGCACTACATTTAAAGTCTTCCGTAGTCATTCCCCCATCTATGGCCTACTAAAGCCACATATTCACCCTATTTGATGTCAAACGGCATTCATTCTTGTGCAACTTATGCCGAAAATGTCATCAACATCAAAGGTGTCATATTAGATTTTGAGAGATACAACAGAAGGGTAGATTTATAGAGAATAAACAAATTATTTTCATGATGCTTTTTTGTCATTTTGGAGCCCAAAAACAAAGGCCAGGCTATTCTTCACAAATTCATACTTTGTGTTTGATGGGAAAAAGAAAGCCATACAGGTGAATAATCAATTTATTACCTTAAATCCCTTTCCATAATACAAAAAAAAAAGAAAAATCAATCAGAAGTAATCAGAAGTAAATTTTCATTACACAGCTTTTTAAATCCAAGACTAGATCTGTGTCTATGGAAACAAACCTCTTGATGCTCGATCAAAAATTAACTACGGCCATTTCCTGACCAGCTAAATGACAAAGCTTATTAAAAAAAAAACAAATTACCCCTCAAAAAATCTCTGATAAATAATGTTATAGCCTAAATCCTCACCATCTCCAATCTCAATGTCTTTGAAGGCCATTTCAGAGCCAGAATCGCTGATCAGCATCTCTCCGTTAAGAGTGAACATAATATTCATTTCAGTGAGGTCTATCATGCAGCCGACCACATCACCAGACTGCCATTGACGGCCAAATGGCTCATTACCAATGTGCCATCGCTGAGCCTGCAGGAAGAGCAGAGGAGAGTAATTCAGCGTTTATTGCAGCTATCCAAAATAGTTTGTCTGCAACTTGTGCGGCACACAAAATGTATTGGTCCAATTAGCTGGAAAGATGGCCTACAGCCTGGTAGCATATAACACAGCAGAATTAGATTAATATGACACCACTGACCCTATTTCCATTAAAGACATAGGCCAGCTCATCAGAACCAAGCTCAACGTCAGAGCAGACGTTCGGTCGAGCCCAGCCAACTCTCATCTCTCCTGTGGTTACGGCCTCAAACTCAAAGTACCATTTTCCTGAGGTAACAGCATACTGCTTCTCCGCCCTGAAGATACGCACTTTATCTCCACGTGTGTTCTCAACACCATGACCACCTTTGGGACAAAGAGAGTTTAGGAGTGCAAAAACAATACAAATCCTAACAAATATTTAGATCTGAAGCTGGGCAATGACTTTATTAAGGTCTGTTCCATATTCTGGATCCTAGAAGATCATTTTGACATCCACACTCACAACCTCATTATTACAGACACTGGTAATAACACACAAAAACAAAGACTCACTGCTCTCCTGATCTGGGGGCTCAATGTTGTATCCGTAGCCAATCAGAGTGCGCACAGCGTTGTTCACACTGTCTCTATTTGTCTTCTTGGTTCTTTCGTCCAGCAGGTTGTATGGCACCAGACGGGGGTTACGCTTATTCAAGATGTCCTGAGGGTCACACGGTAAGTAACAAGAGTAAAAGGGTTGGTTTCCCTTTCAAGTTTCTGAAGAATTCTAGTTTACAGAAATTCAACACAGTCACACAACAAAAGTCCAAAATATGATATCTAATTTTTAACCAATTATAGCTATTTATTTCCAGATACTTATGTTTTCAACTAGATATATTATACATATTTCTTAATTCAATACTGTTGTTACAATTAACAAAGCCAACAAACAATTTTATTGTAATTTTGCCATACACGTCATCAAAATAAATATATTGACTTTAAAATTTGAATCTACTGATTATATAACATTGAGCTATAATCACATGGTATGGTCTGGGAAATAAAGCACCCTTCCACCATGATCTATAAGCTTTTGAAACATAAATATAGTTAATTATTTATTATAAATTAATTATAAAATCATATAGGTATCATTTAAACTGATTATTTATTTAATACTTTTTCTGGAAATACAAATGTTATGTGCATAAATGTTTATGGGCAATTCATGCTTATTACTACTATTAGAAGTATTATTAGTAATACGTATTATTAAAATTTCATTACCTTTTAATTGGAGTTTTAATCATGTTGTCTGCTACCTTAACTGAAATTTAGGATTTGAATTGGAATTTAAAAGGCATGGACCCTTTTCACAACTAATTAACATTGTAAACCTAGCAACGTTTATACATACATATATATATATATAT